GGGGGAGGGGCGGGGAAGGGGGGGGGGGGGGGGGGGGGGGGGGGGGGGGGGGGGGGGGGGGGGGGGGGGGGGGGGGTTCACCTTTACATCTTTCCGTAGAAACCCTAAACCCTGAACCCGAAACCCTAAACCCTAAACCCTGAACCCCTACTAAGAGCCAGCTAGGCCGAGGGTTGAGGGCTTTGGTCTGAGGAGGTCTTCATCGGCCCCTTGGGCCCTCAGAGTTGGACATTCCTGAAAACCCTCGAACCTCAAACCTTAACCTTTACTTAGGGTTTAGGGCTTAGAGTTTAGGGTTTAGGGTTTAAGGATCTGAAACACATCCATTCAACCCCAACCCCTGAGCCCTCAACCTTGCGCCTTAGCCTCAACAGAGCACATAAGGAAGGCCTTTGGACCCAAAAGCCTTAAAAGAAGAGCCCTTAGAACCTGAGGGTAAGAACCCTTCCCGAAGAAACCAGGGGGTTGAACATATGTCACCCAAGCCCCCTAAACCCTGAACCCTAAACCCTAAACCCTAAACCCTAAACCCTAAACCCCAAACCTCACAAGGCATCGGCTCTTGCCACGTTCTCAGCTTCGGGCGAGGCCCTGCTTCAAAGAGCAGAGGTCCACATCGAAATGGCCCAGCCTTTCTGAGTTAGGGGTGTAGGGCTTAGGGTTGAGGGTTGAGGGTTTAGGGTTTAGGGTTTAGTGTTTAGGGTTTAGGGTTTAGGGTTTAGGGTTGAGGGTTTAGGCTCTACAATGCATCAGGCACAGAGTTTGCAAAGGAAAATGAAGGCTCCATGTTCTGATTTTTAGCTTCGGAGGCCCCGCGTGTAGGCCAGGAGGAGGAGGAGGCCGGAGGCGAGACAGAGTGAAAGGATGCAGCAGGAAAGGCAGCAGGGGGCCAGGTGCAGGGGGAGGGGCTAAACCTGGGTAGGGGCAGGGGAGGGGGGGGGGGGGGGGGGGCAGAGGCGCAGGCAAAACCGGGCAGGGCATAGCACAGGGGCAAGGGTAGGGGGACAGGGGCAGGGGTGCAGGGGCATGGTACTTTGCTGGAAGCCCCAAGAGACAGGAATAAAGGAAATGAGGCCCCAAGAGGGCAGAAGCTAAGGGAAGGAAGCCCCAAGAAGTCAGAAGTGAAGAAAATGCAGCCCTAAGAAGCCAGGAGTGAAGAAAATGCGGGCTAGAAAGACGGAAAATGAAGCATAACAAGGCGCGACCTCCCAACCCATTTAGGACCCACCCCTTGGGGCTTAGGGTATTAAAATATGTAACATATTTGGCGCTTGCAGCGCTGTGCACATTCATGGCAGCCTATAAGGCGGCACGGAGCATGAAGCTCACTCTTCATGCTCTCAAGTTAGTGCTTGCACCTCATGAACCTTCGGTGCCTGGTGCGAAGCGCACAGTAGTGGGCGCGATGTAACTGGTACTCCAAAGCGTCGTGTTCTACATCACGCGCTTCAGTTTAGGGGTTTAGGGGTTTAGGGGTTTAGGGGTTTAGGAGTTTAGGGGTTTAGGGGTTTAGGGGTTTAGGGGTTTAGGGGTTTAGGGGTTTAGGGGTTTAGGGGTTTAAGGGTTTAGGGGTTAAGGGGTTAAGGGGTTAAGGGGTTAAGGGGTTAAGGGGTTACAGTAAGGGGTTTAGGGTTTAGGGTTTAGGGTTTAGGGTTTAGGGTTTAGGGTTTAGGGTTTAGGGTTTACGGTTTACGGGTTAGGGGTTTAAGGTTTAGGCTTGGGTTGAAGATGAATCAGATCTAGGCCTCAGGGGTTAGGGTCGCTTTTTTTGCGCAAGCTGCAGCCTCGTCGATCCTTACAGCCAGTCCTGCGACGCCCATAATGCACCCGCTCAATCCCAATGTAACTCTTTGGGGTTCAGGGTTCAGGGTTCAGGGTTCAGGGTTCAGGGTTCAGGGTTTAGGGTTTAGGGTTTAGGGTTTAGGGTTTAGGGTTTAGGGTTTAGGGTTTAGGGTTTAGGGTTTAGGGTTTAGGGTTTAGGGTTTAGGGTTTAGGGTTTAGGGTTTAGGGTTTAGGGTTTAGGGCCCACAAAGACGGCTTGGCACTATACTCCACAAGAGTTTCTGAGCAAACTAGCGCTGTCTGCGACCATATGCGTCTCAAGCTCAGCTGCCAACAGCAGTTGAACATTGAAGCGAAGCATGTAGGCGCATTACAGCGGCTCGAGACAGGATCATCACCAAAAGAAGTGACTCTATGCCACCGGAGTCCGTGGATAATGCCTTCCAAGTCTAAGTCGATTTTGTGTATACACCCAGCCCTTCTTGTCTTTCCGAACGCGAAGCGTCGGTGCTCCAAAAGGAATATCTGTCTCAAGAGCACGATCTCTCGCGGCCTGAGTAGCAAACTCCACTACTGCACATCTTGACTGGCCAGATCTGGCGACAGGGAGAATAGCAATCATTGAGACTGAGCCAATAGATTCAAAATGCTCTTGCAATTCACTGCGGCTGGCACCTTGTGGAATTTGCGGAACAAAGACACGTCTTTTTGGTGGGATGCCAACCATGGCACGACAGTGGCTGAAGCCTGCAGGTTTGGCCATCTCATTGAGCCATGTTGCCGCCCAGCTCAGACCATTTTCATCAGTCCGCACATGCATGGGATCGCTGAGGTTCGGATGTTGTCGCAGCTTGTCATCAAACTCAGACATCCACTGAACTTCTTTCGCGGGAGTAAAGGGCACATGTTGCTGCCCCGTCTGTCGTGCGAAGACTGTAAAGCAAAACCATCTGCGATTGTCAATGCACCAGAATGGCCCGCTTGGTTCTCTTCTCGATATGCGGATGGGGTTGACATCATCAACTTTCCGAACCCCTACCAACAAGGATTCAACCAGCTGGAATATGTCCCGCTTGTCGCTGAACAGGATGTGAATGGTCTTCTGCATGGGCTTAACCTCCGACATTGCAACAGCACGGCTGCGCAGCACTTGGACCTCAGCCCCAGAAGACTCCGTGCCTCTCTTCCGTTTTCTTCCGTTTGGACAAAACTGCGACAAAGGAATGGCTGATTCAGCAAAATCTGCGCGGTCTGTGCGGTCAGGAAGGTCGCTGACGTGATGGAACTGCCCCTGCTCGCATCCATTCTCCACAAATTCACCCGGGATTTGCATGTCCCGACTATCCCAGCTACCCTCCCATTTTGGAACTGCAACCTTTTGGCAGCAGGTCCATCTTGCCGTGGGTCCCCCACCAGACTTCAAGACTGAGCTTTTGGTGGTACGGAGGAGGAAAATCTTACCTGGATGATGCATGGATGTAGATGCTGGGGAAGGCCTGCAAGGACGAAGGGAGTGCACTGTACCGTGCTGGTCTGGCTGGCCAAGTTGTCCACAACATCGGAGGAAGATCCATCTTTTGTGAGAGCCATCTCCTTGGCGCGTGATCCAGCGGATGCACACTGGCGGTGCCGGGTGTTCTTTTTCGTCATATGTGCAAGCCTGAGTTACCCATTCCACGGTCATGGAAGCTGACTAAGCTGACAGCAACTCTTGGGCAGTAAAGAGCTTCAGTCGCTATGTGCATTCACTTCCGGCCGCCTCCTTTCGCTTCTGGTAAAAACACATACGTCATAGGTAGCTCCTCCGAATCCGTGAACTGCAAAAGCTTGTTTCCACTACTTAAATGTTTATGATTACTTAATAGTATTTGCTTTCTTCCCTTGTAATCTCTGACAGCCACTCATCGCCATATTTCCCTGGTTGAAGGTGCCTGCTCTCCGGGCTTGCATCTGCATCATCACCTGCAGACGACTGACAGGAGAAGTTGCGAGGCTTAGATCTACAAGTGTTTCTGGAGCTTTTTATGTAGGGGTTAGGGTTGAGGGGTTTAGGGTTTAGGGTTTTGGGTTTAGGGTTTTGGGTTTAGGGTTTAGGGTTTAGGGTTTGGGGTTTGGGGCTTAGGGTTTCGAGGGGTTGCTAGAATAATTAGGATGGCCGAGTCTTGGGGTATAGAGGGTTCCTTCCCGCCCCTTTGGTTGTGGGAAGTGCCCACTAGAACAATAACGGCAATATCGATGAGATCCTCAGCGCCTAGGTTCTCGAGCAACCTCCGGATCAAAAACAAAACCCAAACCCCAAACCCTAAATCCTACCCCAAACCCTTCACTTATATTGGGGGAACAACTCCCCCCCCTAAAAAAAGGGGCCGGGAATGGGGGCCCACTCTGGACCTGGGGTTTTCTTCTCGGCCGTCGGGATGAACTGCCTAGAGGTTCTCTCCAATATTAAAAGGAACCTTCTTTACACTCACCAATGACAGTAATATAAACCCTGTTTCATGTGGGTTTATACCGGTTTGTATGGGGCTATATGAGCTTACGTGGGTTTATGTGGGTTAAGGCGGGTTTACATGAATTAATAAGGGTGTCTAGGGTTTATGCGGGCTTAGACTTGTTTATATGGGTTTATATGGGTTTATGTGGGCTTATAGATTTTAGACGGGCATTATGTGGGTTGATTGGGGTTTATATGGGTTCATATAGTTTTCTATGGATTTGGGGTTTAGAGTTTAGGGGATTCTCAGTGGGTTTTACGCGAGGCTGCCCACACCTCTGATTCTACATGTCGTGGTTTAAGTGCTTAGGCTTGCGGCTTAGGGTTTGGGAGCGTCTTATAAGTAGCTTCCTGTGATAGAACCCCCCCCCCCACCCTCAAGGAAGGTACCTTTGGATTTGCAGGCTCCGGAAGAACTAAAGGCGCTTCTGCCGCTGAAGCCGAAAATCCTCACCCTTCCATGCAACTGGCCTGATGGAGCAGGGCCCGTGTAGATTTCAGCACGGATGACCTGCAAAGCTCGACAAAGGCTGCTGCCTACCAAGTCCTTGCCAGAAGGGTATAATTGGGTCGAAAGTCTCTGCGTGTTACCTTAAGAGCCCAACACCTATAGTTGTTTGTGGTCTACTGCAAAAAAAAAACCTTGTAGGATACTTCGGTAACCTACAGAAAAGGTGTTTGGGGCTCTTAAGGCAGGGGTTTGGAGTCAATCTTTTTTTGGGGGTGCAGGGCCTGGGCTCTGCGAGTCCCCATATGCAGGCTTCGTCAGACTCGCACTCCGCTGACTTCGTGTCGTGCCTTCGTGTTATATCAGTATATCAACTTTAAATATGGCGGGCGGGGGAAATAGTAGGGGCAGGGGTTCGATCCCTACTTGGAGGTTCATGGGCACTTGCAAAGAGGGTTCGAAGAAGGGCTCGTATGGTTATAAACTTACTTCGGGCGCTTACAACCCTACTTAGCCATAGAAGTACCCATGAACCTTGCAAGTACCCTGGGACCACATGAATCCTACAAGGGTGTATGGTCCATATACCTTAATAGGGAGTATAGTAGTGCAGAAGATACTCTGCACTGCAGAGTATTTGACCTCAATTTTGGGGTTCATTTGGTCCCTACTTGGATTTTCATGGCAGTTGGTAACCCAATTATGACTGTACTTGTGACACAATTTTCACCCTATTTGGGTACTTAAGGGGCTTATGATACAAGTAAGTGGGTTATAGCTACACTTATCATTGGGCCCTCAACCCGAAACCCTAACCTAAACCCTAAACCCTGCTGGGTTATAAGTACCCTGAACCTCCAAGTAAGGTGGCAAGATCCGCCTGTTCTGAGAGCGCTGAGGCGTGAAGAGTCCACTGCCAGGACTGGCTCCAGAGGGGCGTCGGGGCTTACGGGGTTGAGGGCGCGGGTTGCTGGTGCCGTAAGTTGAAATCCTAAACTTCCCACACCCTAAACATCCTAAACCCTAAACCCCAAACCCTAAACCCTAAACCCTTGAAACCCTGAAACCTCAAGCTTTCTTGAGCTTGAGTGTCTGGCAGGGTTGTGGTGCGGCTTGGGGGATGCTTTGGACTTGGCCATGCTCGGAGGTTCATATAGGGGGACATGAGGCACCTTAACCCTAAACCCTAAACCCTAAACCCTAAACCCTAAACCCTAGACCCTAGACCCTAAACCCTAAACCCTAAACCCTAAACCCTAAACCCTAAACCCTAAACCCTAAACCCTAAACCCTAAACCCTAAACCCTAAGTAAGTCGCCGTCCTATGCAAGCTGACGCTTCGGCACTGCGCAAGCAACGCCGGCTCGGGGGAATCTGTTCCTCCCACTCAAGGACGTGCCCAACCAACGGGGTACCTCTATTTTGAAACGACGCCTAAACCCTAAACCCTAAACCCTGAACCCCTGAACCCCTGAACCCTAAACCCCAGTCGAGAAGAGAGAGAGAGAGATAGAGAGAGAGAGAGAGCGAGCGAGAGAGAGAGAGAGAGAGAGTTAGCGAGAGAGAGTTAGCGAGAGAGAGAGAGAAAGAGAGAGTTAGCGAGAGAGAGAAAGAGAGAGGGAGCGAGGGAGAGAATGGGAGAGAATGGGAGAGAATGGGAGAGAATGGGAGAGAATGGGAGAGGGAGAGGGGGCCAAGACGTCTTCAGACTGGTGGGCTTCAGCGCAATGTGGGTTCAGGGTGTGGGCAAGAGTTGGTTCTTGGGGTGTTTCGGGTCACCGCTGCAGCTTCCGTCTCGTGAAAGATCAGCGCAAGGTCGGCCACTCTACATAGGAGCTTCCAAGAATTAGATCTGGAAATGTGACCTCTAAGCCAGAACCCTAAGCTCTGCATTCTTGGGAGTGTTTGGCGGCCTCAATCTTGGGTAGGGACTTAGGGGCGCAAGAACGAAACTTACTTACCGCTTTAGGGCTGAGGGCTTTAGGGCCGAGGGTTTGGACTCTGAGGTTTCGGAACGTGTCTTGCGCCGAAACCACTCAGTAGCCAAGACACAGTCAACATCTGAAATAAGGAGTTAGGTACCATACGTATGTAAAAAATTAAGCCACACACAGCCGTGCGCCATCGGGCGCTCCCCTGCTGTGACATATGGACCCTGTCAATGGCTTTTGGAGGAACACCGCCATCTGTTGTGGAAGCTGCAAGGGAAGGGGAATCCTTATTCTTATTCCCCTGTATCATCCATATATAACCCCCCTTTTGTACCCTTTCTAGTTGCTATGTACCTAAATAGCCCCTGAATAAACCCATACACAAGTGCCAGCCCGGCGAATACGACTTGAGAAGCCATGCCTCTGGTTCGGCTGCGTGCTCCTGCTCTTTCTCCTTCATCTCAGACGGTTTAGGGTTTAGGGTTTAGGGTTTAGGGTTTAGGGTTTAGGGTTTAGGGTTTAAGGTTTAGGGTTTAGGGTCTAGGGTTTAAAGTTTAGGGTTTACGGTTTACGGTTTAGGGTTCAGGGTTTAAGGCTCAAAACTCTACATCTTGCCCATCTTGCCCCACATCTTAACCACATCAAACCATGGTGGGGTTTCATGGTGCATCCAGAACTCAGGACAGGATCGACAGGCAGCAAAAAACACAGTGGCATCCGCGCCTCCTGCGAAGCAGCTTGCTGCCTGCCGCTCTCCTCTTCGATGATATTTGGGACTTAAGGTTCAGGGTTCAGGGTTCAGGGTTCAAGGTTTAGGGTTTAGGGTTTAGGGTTTAGGGTTTAGGGTTTAGGGTTTAGGGTTTAGGGTTTAGGGTTTAGCGTTTAGGGTTTAGGGTTTAGGGTTTAGGGTTTAGAAATTCCAAAAATTCCAACTCAAACAAGTGAAACCGTAACCACCTAATCCTTACAGCCTGAAGCATTTTGCAGCGAACTAAACCCGAGCCAGCCCGTGTGACACATGTTTCGGGGACACTTGAGACACTTGGCACTTGGGTGTCACATTGACATGGAACACCTGGGACACTGGGGTCAGAAGGCAAAGGAAACCGGGCCCCCTTAGTGGTTGCAATGGGGACGTTGGCGCAAGGGCCCTTTGATGATGATTTACCATTCCAAAAGCCTCCTAGCAAACTTTTGGCCAACTTTTGGGCTACCGATTTTTTCGCCTAGAACCCCAGGTTCGTTGGATTTTCTGGACACCCCCGCAATGGTAGCACTGGGGACGGTCTGTTAACGGCGAAACGCCGCGCCTCCTTGGGGTTTAGAGTACGAACAGATCTGCAATGATGCGCTTGGCGACCAAGCTTGGCGACCCCTTCAGGGGTGCGGCTGCATCTGCAGCTCAGCGGAGCCGTGGTATAGCCCCCACGAGCAAGCACGTGGGTCTTCTGCAGTATCCACTAGCTCAGCAGAGCCTGCTATGGTCTCGCTGAGCGCTCGACTGCGCCCGCCTACCCCAATGGTGAGAGGGGTGGCAGGTGGGTTTAGGGTTCATGGGGGCTAAAGACTGAAGTATGATTTGACAGATGAAGGGCCTTGGACAAAACTCTACTGCTAACCCGAAGCCTACGACGCTTTCCCCCCACCCCCAACCTGCCCAGAACCAAGCACCGGATGGTTTGGGGTTGAAAGGAATTGTTTGGATGTCCACAGGTTCTCTGGGTATTGCCCAAAAAAATAATCCAATCAATTGCGTAATTGGAGGTTGCTTCTGCTGTGATCGCGCCAAATGAAGCTTGGGAGGCTCAACG